AGGTTGCAATTTCTTTCTCCCTGTTGGACAAGAAGTTTTAGAAATAATTATTATTTGACTATAAATTTGAAAATGAGATAAATATTAGGCCATTAAAAAAATATTACGCCGGAAAACTTGAAATCGAAATATTGATAAAATAACTTATGAATGTGATAATAAATATAATTAAATATATATTTAATATGAGATAAGGAATAATTATTAACAAGTATAAATTAATATAAACAATAATATTTTTGAAAAATATATCCGGCATCTGCATTTTTTGGCTCCAATTTCAAATAAATATACCTCCATTACTACTCATTACTTTGATACAAGATCAAACTAACCTTGAAGTCTATAAATATTTAAATTTATTATGCTTAGATAAAATATTTGTGTGTGCCGAAATTTTAAAAAAAGGATTAGAAAAAATTAAACTATATATTAAGTATAAAAAAAATTATTGGATATTAAAACCAGGGACCCGCCATTTCTAAGCAATCATTTTCCATAAATCTGACAGTAATATAAAATAATACTAATTTAAAGATGTTTACCCCAATTGCTTTCCATGTTTTATTTAAATGTTCTTTAGTTGTAGATTTTCATCCTCTGTTAGTAATATCTTTAACGTGTATCCATATATAATGTTGACAAAATGGATCATTTTTAAAATTAGCCTCTCTTGCTTTGATACTGGTTGATGAGAAAAGGGTGTTTGTACCTATTGTGTTTTTTTTAGACAATTTAGTCTTGCTGCATAAAAATCCCCCTATATTAATTGTTCTTTGAAGATTCTTTTCTTTAATAATTTCCCATTCATCTTCACATAGATCGATGATTTCATCCATTTCCATGTCATCACAATATCCTTTTAATTTTTCAGTTTCTAACGATACCTAAGTTTGGAATGAACCACTTTAAATGATGAAATCAGATGCAAATAATTGTTATATTCTGAATTTCCTGTGCTAACAACCATTCAATTGGTTTTACTTAATTATATGGGTCATATTTAGTTTGGAATTTTACCAAGATAGATAAGTGATTAGTGATATGGAAATTTGCCATGTTCCAATTGCTATTTTGGTCTAGTTGATTATTAAATATTAAATATATTTGTATAATACAAAGTAGGTTACAATTTACAAACAACCAGTGGCATATTTAGAAATTTTTTCGATTTTTTTTAAAACCTTAGTTTAAATTATAAATAGAATTTTATTTATAAAATATGTGCTTTCTAATTTTGCACCCTCCACGAAACAAAATCGGTTACATGTCAATACCGCGAAAATTTTAGCGCGAAATGTATTATCGCGAATGCATTATCGCGAATGTCGATTACCGCTAAAAGATATTATAGCGAATGCATTACAGCGAATGCATTACAGCGAATGCATTATCGCGAATATAATATAGCGAATGCATTATAGCGAATATAATACAGCGAAAATATTATAGCGAATGTATTAGCACGAATGTAAAACCGCGAAAATGTTATCGCGAATGTATTATAGCGAATACATTACAGCGAATGAATTATCGCGAATATATTACCGCGAATGCATTATAGCGAATGTATTATAGCGAATGAATTATCGCGAATGCATTATAGCGAATGCATTATAGCGAATCCATTATAGCGAATGAATTATCGCGAATGCATTATAGAGAATGCATTATAGCGAATGAATTATCGCGAATGCATTATAGCGCGAATGCATTATCATATCGCGAATGGAGTTTCATGAAATTTACAATTTTATATTTATCGACTTTTCGACTGACTTAGTTGAATCTGAAAATTAAGTTAAAATGGGAATTGGCTCTAAAAACATTTTTTTATTGAAATTAAGGCTAAGGCTTTTCTTTTTTTTGACTCAAAATATATAAAAAAGATTCTAAGTAATAAAATAGATTTCTCTTTTTCATCTAATCATTTTAAATATTAAACATCAAGTTTTTTCTTTTTAATTTATTGAAAACTTGTAGGGGAGAACGGGGTTATGGCGAACCCTAAAGGCAAACCTTAAGAAAATTATAAGTACTTTTTCATTTTTAATAAAAAATATCTCATTTTGTTCAGCTCTATTAGTTTTATGATATGTTTAAATTTCAAAAATACATCTCTAAAATTTTTTCAAAATATCATTTTTCCTGGAATTTTTTTTGGTAACCGAGTGAACCCTACCCGGGGACGAACAAGCCCTTGGTCGAGATTATTATAAACTCTGCTTAATTTTTCATATATAAAAGTTATATATTTTTTTATTAGGATATATTTAATGATTTAAAACATAAAAGTGTTATATAAAATCATTTAAAACATTCACAATCTTTGCAAATAAAAAAACAATAAAATTGCAAAGCCATGTAACTAATAACTGACATTGAAAGCAGTCTTGATTGTTATGCTTGATATAATTTATTTGTATACCAAACAATTATTTATCATATAATAACATTTTTCGATTTTTTTTCTTTTAGTTGGTCTCTCCTTGGCTTTTTTTGCATGTCAAATTTTTAAAAAATAGCAAAAAAAAAAGGTTCGACCTAACCCCATAAAAATAGCCCCAGTAGCACCACTTTGATTAAGATCATATTTTGAAGTATTTATATTATCAATTTTGTTCGGGTAAATTGTTATTCTATAAAATAGGATTTTTTCTTTTATATAAGATGATTTTTGTGTGGTAAAATTGTATATTAATCTTTATTTTTGAAAAATAGTAAAAGTGTAAAAAGTTACTTTTGAAGGTACGAATGATATAAAGCATTATAAAAATTCTTCAAGCGGTCCGATAGAAATAAAAATTATAGCCGCATATGCAATATATAAGTATATAGTTTTAGTAAAAAATTATCTCTTAGAGTTGAATACTCTAGAAAATAAAGCCACTCTCACTATAACCCTGGTTTCATTATAACACCGGTCTCCCCTAATTATGGGCATCAGAAATTTTTTAGCTTTAGCTGATAACATAAAATAATCACAAAGTTCTTTCCAAAAGTGTCTTACTTTGTGGAATAAACAAAAAATGTCTACCAATATGGCAGGTAACATCAAGAAATTGGGTAGGTATCTGATAAATTCTAGTGGAATTCGTATTACGAATCTATGGTTTTGCTTGATAAAATCTTAGTTGAAAAACAAAAGGAGCATGATGAGTTATATGATAACCATGAGGTTAGCTTGATGAACTGGATTAATATTCTACTTTTTCCTAGAGAATTCAGGAATTAAACTTGATTCCAATTTTTCTTCTCATGTCAAAATTTTATCATTATCAGATCTTTGATAAAATACATATTTTAGAAAATTATCGTATGTTTATATTGTTAGTGGTATTTAATAATGAGATTTGTTTAATAATGCCAAAATATTTTATGTTATAGTTTATGAATTTGAAGAAATCTTTAAAAATATATATGTCCGACTACATTTTTTTATCTTAATTTTCTAAAAGCCACTTTATAAAATTTAAAATATTTTGTTTTTATGTTATAGTTTATGAATTAAAGGAAATCTTTAAAAATATATATGTACGATTACATTTTTTTTATCTTAATTTTCTAAAAACCACTTTATAAAATTATATATTTTGAGAATATTAAGACAGGAGATTTCATAAAAAACGATTGAACCGTTTCGGAGTTTATAAGATTTCAAAACGCGACGTTTTTTAGCCGCCCGGTAAATAATCAAAATTTTTGATCTCATTATCAACTTTCTTCCAATAGTAGGAATAGGGCTAGTAGTCGTTTTTGTCAATATCATCATAAGCTTGACAATTTATAATTGAATTTATTAAATACCATGAGATAGCCCAACAAACACTTTACTTAAGTTATAAATTAATAAATATTTTTAATATTTTATATTTTAAGATTGATTCTAGTAAAAGTTAATTTTTGCCCCAACAAGCCCCAATCCCCAGGCTTGTAGATTACATTGGTTTATTAAGTCTCCTATAGGATAATTGTTATTATCATCGTTAAAAAAATTGAGTATACCAAATTCCACATATTTTTTAATAAAATAGAATTTCATAAATAACAAGTGACGTGTTTTAGAGGTAAATAATTTTAAAACGCTACTTTAAATAAATATAGACAATTAAGCTGGTTCTCTGGTTTTTTGGAACTTAATAAATGGGTTAAATATAATTTTGTCAAATATAAATCACTATTGCATTGTGATAATGTTAGTTGTAATGCATTCGCGATATTGCATTCGCTATGATGCATTCGCGATAATGCATTCGCTGTAATGTATTCGCTCTAATACATTCGCTATACATTCGCGATAATACATTCGCTGTAATGCATTCGCTATAATGTTTTCGCGGTAATGCATTCGCGCTAATATATTCGCTATAATACATTCGCTATGATGCATTCGCGATAATGCATTCGCTATAATGTTTTCGCGGTAATGCATTCGCTATAAGGCATTTGCGCTAATATATTCGCTATGATGCATTCGCGGTATTACATTCGCTGTAATGCATTCGTTATAATATTTTCGCGTAATGCATTCGCGCTAATATATTTGCTTGATACATTCGCTATAATGCATTCGCGGTAATGCATTCGCTATAATATCTTTTCGCGGTAATCGACATTCGCGATAATACATTTCGCGGTAAAAGTTTCGCGGTATTGACGTGATACGATTTAAAATAACTGAATTTTAAAAATTTGGGTGCCCCGTAAAATGTTAAATTGGCCGAGCTTAAAATATATATAATACCCGGATCGGGACAAAAATAATTTGTTTTAAATCTGAGCCATGCTTAAAAATAGAATTTCTTTAAAAAAAATCCCGACTGAGCCTAAGGATATACTTTTGATAATCCTATTAATCTACTCTGGCCCCAGGCGTATTTTATTATCCTTAGTATCATTTATTTTCTTTCCTTTAAGTCATTTGTATTATTCTATTCTACTTTTCCCTAAATCATATTATAATCACAGGATTAGGATTTGAAGTGTATATTTTTTTAAAGGCTCGAACCCTTGGCTCAAAGAATCAAAGAGAAACGCAATGCTGTCCTCTGCCCTATGATTGACGCTATCAACGATCGTACAATGCAATACAGCTCTGGGAGTGGCATAGCTCAGGGTGGGTTTACCTGGAGTCTGCACTTTACTTGGTTATCTGTCTCGGAACGAGAAAAACAGAGATTGTCATCTCCTACAAGTCCTATTAGGTGAAAGAATGAAAATTTTATGTTAATTAGGCAATTAAAAAAATACAACATATTTATTTTTAAAAGGAAATGTGATTTTCTTTAAACGAATATAATTTGCAGGATGATTTGTACAAAAACAATTAGCAAATTGTACTTTAATTCTCCCGGGAAATACTAACTATTAATTACTTGCAATCAAGTTAAATATTCCGAATTTAAATATATGTCGGAGTGCCAATTGTATCCCACAAATTTAAAGCAACAATATACCCCCCGGTTCGAGATTTTCATAGGCTAAGGGCAATTAAACATAAATGTAAGTCAGGCTGGGTCAATTTCAATTTTTATTTTGGGCTGGGTTGATTTTTTTAATGGACTAAGTTGGACTTAAATATTTAAAACTGTAAATTCACATATATTTTTTTATGATATATCAAGAATTTATTCCGTGCATAATCTATTCTTTGCCATTAACACAATTTGATATGTATAATTTAATATTGGACATTGATCAAAATTTAAACAAAATTCTACGTCACCATCTCTTTGGGGTTAATTCTTGTTTTTTTACTATGAAAATTTTATCGCGTAAATTTTTCTTTACTAAAAATGGAGAAACTTTAAAAATATTCTCGCATTTTAGCTCTATTTTTTTGGAGAAAATTAAGTAAGAAGTAACCGGGAAAAACTTTGGGAAAATTGGGTGTAACAATTTAAAAATATTTAATGATGATTAAGGCCATTTTTTTAAAAAAAAACATTTTAAATTTGGTTTCTCTTTAAAAAAATATGTTCCTGTATTTTATTTTGAATTATTTTTGAGGCTTCTTTCATTTTTTTGTTCCTTTTTCCTCGATTTTTCTTCCGATAATTATAGGAAATTGTATTGTAATTTTTAATAAAAAGGTATGAAATATTTTTTGAAAATTTACCTTAGAAAGAAGGTACTAAGAAAGCGTTGATGACACATGAATTACGATTACAGATATAATGTCTCATGAGAAGTGGCATAACTTGAGACTAAAAAAAACTCGTTTTAATGAAAATAATTTGTTACTTACTTTTATTAATAAAGCAAAGGGTTGGTGGCAATTCGATTTCCGACGGGACCCGTGAGCCCCCTTTTTGAAAGGTTAAAGTTATATTTAAAGGGTTCTCAGATATTGATGTAGGGTAGGGTTAGTAAAAATTTTGGGTCTGCGACACAAACTGAGAATATTAACATCCCCTATTCATAATATTTATAATATTATCTCAATCATTCGTATTATTTTTTTTAAATGTTTCATTATTATGTTAATTTTTTTTTTGTACAAATTGCTTTGCAAATTACCTTGTTACGTTAATTTTATTTTGCAGGAACACTACAAACGACGGCGTTTCTTTTATTTATTTGTGATCAACAAAAAATGCCATTTTTAGACCAACGTATTCATATTTTAAACTAGGGAGCGCGTTTTTGAAATTTTAAACTACAAATGCGTTGTTTTTTTTTGACAAATTTTACAATATTTTTTTTAATAAAAATTAAACGAATAACTATATTATATACATTTGATTACTGTAACAGGTCGCCCACAATGGCAGGTGGTCTCCTAGCCTTGAACAGGGAATATTTTTGGGAAGTCGGAGCCTACGACCCGGGAATGGACATTTGGGGAGGCGAGAATCTGGAAATGTCGTTTAGAGTTAGCTTTTTAATTTTATTATTCATGAACATACCGTAAATCGTAATGTCAGCTTAAAGAGCAAGCATTTGCGACATTAATTTTTTTGAAAAAGGGAAGAAGAAAATTAAATTTTCTCCAACCCGCCCCAAAATTTGTATTGATATATAAATTTTTATTTAAAAAATAAATTCCATCTTAATTTTTTTTTTCTAAGCTTTAATCCAAATATAATCCTAAAAAATTATATAAATATGATTAAATTAAAGGTATTATGCTCTCATTTGCAAATCCATTAATTAAAAGTGAAACTAACTGCAAATTTCTTTCAAATAAACCTTGAAAAATATTATAGATTTTAAATAACATTTATGCGATCACATGATTTCAAAAATTATAAATGCCTAAAAAATTCTGAGGAAAATATTTCAATTTAAAAACTGTATAGTTCAAATTTTCTTTGTTTTTATTAATACTTTTTTGATAAATTAAAATGTTTATATATATGCTACGCCTTGAAAAAGTCACTTTTATAGAGCAGCGTATATCAGAGTTGTTAAAACAATTTTTTGTATTGAGGAATTTTTTGGTAAGTATTTATCAAGTTCTTATGGCGATAATGTTTTGGTATAAAAATTTTTGCAAAACCGCTACTTTATTTATTTTAATTAATTTAATTTAAAGAATGATTTAAATTAGATTTAAATTTATGATATCTTGATGGCTAATCTTCGGTTCACAATTTGCTATTAATTTTATTATTATAGTCAAGATTTATCATACCGTAGAGATGATAAGCCCGAATATTCCCTAAGAATTTATTGAAAGAAAATATTCCCAATTTTTTAAATATTTTTAAAAATCATTAAAAATAGTTAAATGCTAATTTTTCTTATATATAGTCACAAATAGTTTGAAAATATTCATTCATTCAAAATATTCTCATTGCTCACATTTTATAGGTTTCCTACACCTAATAACAAATATATTTTATTTGACTGTACAACTTTCTCCAAAATACATTACTTATATCTAGGTATGATTTAGCTAAGAATGCTATTTTTTAATTTTAAAATAATATGCCTTTCTTGTAGTCTTTTGATATAATTTATTAACTAATTATAATATAAATGTTTTCTGGGGTTTAAACAGTTATTAGACCTTAAGTTAAAATTTAAATCACATTTCTATTAGAGATCATCATATTTTGCCATTTTAAATGCTAACATAACATCCAACATATTTAATAAAAAATCTATTTAGATATATTTATTCCCAAAACTCCCATAGGAAAGTGTCACCCCCACAATTTATCTTTACATGTTCCCGAAAGCATTCAACCAATATCTTCTAATAGCGTAATCTTGTTACTGTCTACTATGAACGCTTCGAATACTTGAGTTTTTCCTTCGTATTTAACGCTGATTTATACTGGACCTATGATTTTTATAGCTTAACCATCATATTCCGTTTTTTAGCTTCGCTAATGCCCACTTTCTTCGTTATATATCGTGGTAATATGGTAAATTTTGTGCCAGTGTCTACCTGCATTGTTATTGGTATTTCCTTGATTATCAATATTACTTTGTATGAATTATTTACCGTATTATTAGTCTTCTTCCATGTTATTTACGTCTATATTGAATATATTATATTCTTTCTTTTAATTTTCATGTTGTCTTATTTCTCTTCCATTTTCACTGTATTTATTTTATTTGAATATTGAATTTAACTTATATAATTGTTAATCATTCGTATTGTTTCTGTTATTATTGTTGTAATGACTGGTGTTTGGTGCATCATAATCTCTTAAGGTTTGATTAGGTTACATGTTATTGCTAAATCTTTGACTGTTTCTCGAATCGTTGAATTGTCTATAATTATTAATATCATTGTATCTATAATTATTATTGCCATGTATCTATAATTAAATCTCGGGTAACCATTGTAGTAGGTGTTTACGTCTTCGAAATCTATCGTAATTGTGATATCTGTCGTAATCTTGATACCTGGGAATGTAATTATTATTTTGATTATAAAACCTTCGATTGTCATAACTAGTGTTGTTAATTAGTTAACTTCTTCCGACTACAACTAATAGTCATAGTCGAGGAAATCGACTAAAAACTTTAGCGTCTAAATTAGTCGACTAATTTCTTGGATTTGCTTATAATTATATTTCTATTTATTTTAATTTTGAATTTGTTTATTTTTAGCACCTGGCTGGCACCAAATCTAATATTTTGTTTTTAAAATTATTATTTTATTTATTGAAAATTAGGTAGATTTTTTTAAACTTTAATAAAATAAATATAATAAATATCAATAATTTTAGTCTTAATCGACTAATTTAGTGGCTAAAGTTTTTACGTTTCGACCATCTGTTAATCGACTAAATTTAGTCTATTATCAACACTAGGCATAACGATATCACGGAACCGATTATTACCTGTAATAGCTATCCTATTGTGTTGTCTTTGTTTATGTTTGTCATCATATTGCATGAGTTCTCTATTGTCTTGTCGGCTGACTTGTTTATCGTCCTCTACCTTTTTATTAGTTTTAACTCCTACATGTTTTATCTTTAGTTTTTCTATCTCAGATATATGTTGTCGTCGCTTTTCTCGGCATCTATCTCATCTATTTCATTTCCTAATTTCATGATTTCATCTAATGTAATATTATCGTTTATTCTATGTCTTTATTCTTTGGATAGAGTGGAACATTTTATCTCTATAGCTCTCTCATATATTAAATTACATTCTTTACTTAATTGGTAGATACGCGAAACCTATTTGAATAGCAGCGTTGAATTCGCTGATCTGTTTTTAGTCTTATCTGAATTTAATATTTTAAACTTGGTTACCAGTAGATATGGGCTTATGAATTCATAGTTTTATCAGAATCAGGACTTTTACTGTTCCTATCTGTCGTATTTGTATATACGGATATATTTGTTTATGACCTAAAATTAATCACTCTGAAACCCTTTTTTAAATAAATTATTGTTTTAATGCTAACCCAAAATTAATCACTCTGAAACCTTCTTTTTTTATAATCAATACTTTTATTAATAAATTAAAAAATATCACTCTCAAAAAAAAAACTAATAATACTTTTATAATAATTTGTGGAAAAAAAAATATATCATATCACATGTTTTTTTACAATCCAATCAACCTTATTTAAATCGGTTGATTGGCATTTCGCGTAATAAACATATATATCCGTATTTACAAATACGACATGCCACCCCTTTATGGGCTCATGGCATATCGGCATACATAAAACAAAAATTCTAACATAATTCAACATGCATACTAAATGCCTATATATTTATATATTTATTCGCGATGGACATTAAGTGCCCTAAAAAAAATATAAGGCCTACACTACTATTATGAGAATATCTTCACAAATAACCTTCCTAGGCAGACATGGGGTTGCCCCAAAAATCATCAGTGCCAGCCGTCTGCGGAACATCAGTGGCTAGAGTGGCCACAGCTCTCTACAATACATCTCCCGCACTCTGCCCGCGAGATCTGCCCGGTTGTTGAACACGATCATCGTAGTTTCGTATCGTTTGAGGATGTCGATCAATATTCTCGGCAGTCCTTATAAGAACGGAAGTTGTAGGCTGCCCCGAATCCATCTCCCTATAGGTACGTTTCGGCCCTTCATGCGTCTCCACACGTGGGTTCTCCGATATGACTCCCATAGGCACACATATCTCCCTGGGTAGTTTGAGTACACTGATGTCTGAGATGACCCTCTTCCTGACAATTGTAGTACCGTTTGTGTCTAACTCCGGAGGTCGGCGGATGATTTTCGTCCCTTTGTCTTTCGCCCAAAATCATACCATTGTTTTTCTTTATTAATGTAACTTGTAGGTAAAATTCCCCTAAATCAACTAGTCGAAACACGGTTTCCATTCCAAAGTACCAAAGATGTTGTTTGAGGAAGCAGCCAAAAGTTTAAAAATTTATAATTTAATTTTTACAACTAACTTAAATTTTTTATATAAAAAATTTTTTACAAAAAAAAAATTAAATTTAATAAAAACTTTTATAAAAAAAAACTTACACTTTATATATAAAAATTTTTTTTATATTTATTAACACAATTACAACCTCTACCAGGCTCCCTTCTACCATTCTTCCCTTTTATTTTATTTTATTTTAACAATTACATTTTACATTTTCTTTTATGGCCTGGCCGAAAATACATGGACCATTACAATATAAACTAGAAAAGGGGGGGCAAAAAAAACCAAACACGCCGCACGTGCCAACCACGAGAAAACAATTATTTATAATTTTGCAACACACCAAAAAGAAGCGTACATAAAAAAAATAATGTTTTTCTTCTCCCTTTTATAACAAGCTCTTTACCGTCCATTCAACTTTTCCCTCTTATTCCTCCTTATGTACCACAGCCGTACTATTACGTTGTGCCGTATAAGTCCGAATAGAAAGCAAAACTCCGAGTATAATAATTTTATTGAATTTCCCACACAAAAAAATGAATAATTTTATTTCAAATTTACTATTACAACCAAAAAAAAATATATTAAAAACAAAAATAAAATAGTTAATAATTTTTATAATATTTCGCTTCCCTTTTATAGGGAAGCGCATAAAATACAATCTCATTATGATTTAACAAAACTTAATTTCGATATCTAAAAATAAAATAAAACAAAATATTAAAATACGGTCTAATAATGAACCTGCACAATTTATTTATTAATGTTCACGCAATAAATATCATCAAATATGTCACTCATTTATGACATTTCCCCCCTTTATCGGACCTCGTTGGCCCCAACAACTGCCTATACTCATCTTCTCCTACCCGTAACACTGGCGTGTCCGACGCCATTCGTTGATCTGATTGTATTGCTCTGTTATCGGAAGATGCGGACGTTGGCTCCGACTCCTTCCAGGTTCGCCCTCCCATAGTATCAAACCGTTCCTTGGGACACCACCGGCGGATATGTCCCGCCATTCCACAACCATAAC